TTCACTGAGGCGATTATACCACATGCACCCAGATTGCTTTAAACCGTACAAAGATCTTTGTAATCTGATTGAGTACATTTTCTGAGATTTTGAATATGCTTCAGAAATTTTAAATCCTTCAGGGATTTTCATGTAAATTTCATTATCAAGTGACCCGTACAGATAAGCTGTAACCACATCCATTAGATGTATTTCAAGCCTTTCACGTAAGGCTAAACTGATGAGATATCGAAATATTATGGCATCCATAACTGGTGAATATGTTTCTTCATAATCGACTCCAGGTCGTTGTGAGAATCCTTGTGCAACAAGGCGAGCCTTGTATCTTTCAACTTCATTTTTATCATTCCTTTTTCGCACAAAAACCCATTTATGACCAACTGGTTTTATACCAGCAGGTGTTTGGACTACTGGTCCAAAGACCTCTCTTTTAGCAAGTGACTTCAATTCCGATTGAATTGACTCTTCCCTTTTGACCAATCAGATCTTTGTCGACATTCTTCGACAGATCGGGGTTCAAGATCCTCACTATCTTGCATAATGTTAAGTGCAACATTATATGCAAAAATATTATCCACCACTATTTCAGATCGATTTAAATTAATCCCATCACCAGTAGAACTTATTAAAAGTTCCTCACTCACTTGAGTCTCGGGTTCATTGATTTCTTCAGGAATCTCAGAACTAATCAGATCTTGGGTCTCTTCAGGAGATCCATTCATAATATCATTTTGATCATTTGTCGATTTGTTTCCCTAGGATTTCGATCCTTAGAACCCAAAGGTCTACCACGCTTCAGGCGTTCTTTAGGTTCACTAGCTCTCATGCTAGTAGATGGTCCTGTTGGGACATCAATTCAGATAGGCACATTCTCTGCATGGATATGTGACTTAGTTATCCTTTTCAAATCAGTAAATGCGTCCGGTATTTGATTTGCTATATTCTGTAAATGGATGATCTTCTGGACCTCCTGATTACATATAGGGGGTATGTGGAGCAAAGTGAGATAATGATGAAACTTTCCACACAATTTCTCTTTTGATTTCCTTTTTCTCTCCCCCTAATTGTGGGAAATTTATTTCATCAAATCGACAATCTGCAAATCGAGCAGTAAATAAATCTCCCGTCAATGGTTCAAGATAACGAATAATAGAGGGTGATTCAAACCCAATATATATTCCTAACATTCTTTGGAGGACCATCTTACTGCGCTGTGGTGGCGCTACTGGCACATATACATCACATCCAAAAATTCGTAGATGGGCAATATTTGGTTCATGACCAAAAACTAATTGTGACGGAGAATATTTATTATAATGTGTTAGTCTAAGATGGATAAATGATGATGCGTGCAAGATAGCATGGCCCCAAACAGAAGTGGACAATTTTGTTTTCATAAGTAGTGGTCTTGCTATCAATTGTAGCCGTTTAATAAATTACTATGCAAGGCCATTTTGAGTATGAACATAAGTTACATGATGTTCAACTTTTATCCCAACTGATAGACAATAATCATCAAAAGCTTGAAATGAGAATTCTCTAGCATTATCAAGACGAATAGCCTTTATAGGATAATCTGGGAATTGTGCCCTTAATCGAATTATTTGGGCTAATAACTTTGTAAACGCCAGGTTGCGAGATGATAGTAGGCATACATGAGACCATCTTGAAGATGCATCTATTAGGACCATAAAATATCTAAACAGCCCACTTGGTGGGTGAATAGGTCCACATATATCCCCATGTATATGTTCTAAAAAGGCAGGGGACTCAATGCCAACCTTCATTGGTGATGGTGTAGTGATCATTTTGCCTTGATAACAAGCATCACAAGAAAATTCATCATTTGTATGAATCTTCACGTTCTTTAATGGACGCCCACTCGAATTTTTAGTAATTCGTCTCATCATTATTGATCCAAGATGGCCCAAACGGCCATGCCAAAGCACAAAAGTATTTGAATCAGTAAACTTTTGGTTTACGATATAGTGTGCTTCAACTGTACTAATCTTTGAATAGTATAAGCAAAAATATAAAGTTGGTAACTTTTCTACAATGCATTTCTGGCGAAAAATATTCTTTGTAATACAAAGATATTCCACGTTCATTTTCATCTATTGTCTCAACATGATACCCATTTCGGCGGATATCTATAAAACTCAACAAGTTTCTTCGGGACTTGGAGGAGAACAATGCATTGTCGATAATAAGATTTGTTCCCTTAGACATAAATACAGTAGCTCTTCCAGAGCCTTCAATCAAACTTATATTACCAGAAATTGTTGAAATATTTGCTTTTTCCTTATGCAAATAAGAAAAGTATTTCTGATCTTTGAATATGGCATGAGTTGTTCCACTATCAATTACACAAATATCTTCATGATTGGTCTTTGATCCAAACATAATTTGAGGATTATCCATATTCTTCAAAATGACATAAACAAAATAAATATGATAGTAAATATCATTTTCAAAGCATAACTTTTATTTATGTACAATAATTATATAACCATACTATCTACTGCAAACAACAAAAATTAAAATATTTATATTTCTACAGATTCACTACCGATCACATGACTTGTTTCTCCTTCCGGGAGTGCAAAATATCAGCTATATCCAAATGCATGAAGTCTAAATTATCTTCAGAAATAAAATTTGCTTCAACATTTTTCTCTATCTTCTTCAGGGAAGCTTGATACAGCTCAACCAGGTGCTTTGGCGTACGACATGTACGTGATCAGTACCCCTTTTCCTCCACATCTATATCATGCATTTTCTGGCTTTGCTGCTTGCACTGCTTCATGCTTTTGTTATTTCATTTTTCACTGCTAGTGGTGAGGAGGGTTCTTTGGTGCATTGTTATTACCACGATTAGAGTTTCCTCCCCGACCACGGCCATGACCATGATTGGGGCCACGTCCTCTTCCATGCTTAGCTTGGTGGAAGTTCGTCTCATTCACTTCAGGGAATGGACAAGAACCAGTAGGTCGCCTTTCATGATTTTTCATTAATAGCCCATTATGTTGCTAGGCTACAAGAAGATATGAGATAAATTCAGAATACTTTTTGAATCCCATCTCTCGATATTGCTGCTGCAGGAGCATATTCGAGGCATGAAAAGTGGTGAAAGTTTTCTCCAACATATCATGATCAGTAATATTATCACCACATAGTTTCAATTGGGAAATAATTCTGAACATAGCAGAATTATACTCACTGATAGATTTAAAATCTTGTAGCCTTAGATGAGTCCAATCATAACGTGCCTGTGGAAGAACGACCATCTTCAGGTGGTCATATCTATCTTTCAAATTATTTCACAGTATGACTGTATCTTTAATAGTAAGATATTCCATTTTCAGGCCCTCATCAAGGTGATGAAGTAGGAATATCATTGCTTTGGCACAGTCTTGGTTTGATGCCTGATTTTTATCTTTGATGGTGTCTGTCAGACCCATCGCATCAAGATGAATTTCGGCATCAAGCACCCAAGACATGTAGCTTTTGCCCGATATATCCAGGGCTACAAACTCAAGTTTAGAAAGATTTGACATTATTAAGAAAAAGAAAGTTCGTACCTCTGATACTTTCAAAGTATTTTCTCTAGATGGCAGAGTCTCGTGCTGATAACGTGTTATAAAATAAAGACAGTAAAGTAAAGACAAGTATAGAGAGAAACTGATATATTATTCAAACTTCAAACTTATTTACATAATGAACTGAATTCTCCTCTATTTATAGAAGAAAGGAAGCTGATGTGTAAGCTACTGCTGCAAGCTGCTGTGTAAGCTATTTGTAAGTTGCTACTCTAAGCTATTGTGCCAGATATGGATAATCTTCTACCATGACAATATTTATCCATAACGGAGTATCGAAAGGATAAGCTTCTTCAGGAGGCTTATTTCCAATAAAGTACTAAATAGATAAACATATTTACGGCGGAGTCTCACATGAATAAGCTTCTTGAGGAAGCTTATTTATAACGGAGTACTAAATGAATATCCATAATATAATATATTTATAAGTGACTTGTACATTTCCCAATTTCTTGACGCCTCTTCATTTCCTCTTTTTTTTTAGCCGGTTCCAAGTAAGAAAACAACTTATTTATATTTAACTATATTGAATTTAGACCAAATCCGTTGGATATGAGTTCATTCTAAATAGAGCAATAGTGATAGGGAATTTAACTAATTTGATACGGACTTGGTTGATTGACATTTGATAGTTAATCGGATATGAGTTCAGACCAAATCCGTTGGATATGAGTTCACTCTAAATAGAGCAATAGTGATAGGGAATTTAACTAATTTGATGCGGACTTGGTTGATTGACATTTGATAGTTAATCGGAGTTATTCTCTCATTTGTTTTTTTCGTTAACGGACAGCATTTGCCCTTTTTGTAATCCCACTTCTTTTACATCGTTGACTGGTAATTCAAAAACTCAATATTTGATCTTAGGAACTTAAACATAATATTAAGTTTATTTAAGCTGCCCAGACAATTTAAAGTTTACTTATTCTTTTTGTCCTTTTTTTGTTTTATTTTGCAAAAATAAAAAGATCACGTGTCAAATTTTTGCTGGCATGCAAGGCTCTCTCCTCTATTAGTTAGTCCTATAGATATAAAGACTGAAAGTCGCACCAGAATTTCAAGAATTCAAAATTCAAGAATCCTGTTTTCAGCTCACTCTTTAATTGGTTAGTTTCCGAGTATATAAAACCTCCAAAAAACCAACCCCCGTAACAACCCATCTTCTCCATTTAGTTAGAGTCAAGTTCAAGACTCAGTTTTATGCTTTGAGGCAACTGGAGTGGCCGACTTAAAAGGGTTTCATAGTTCCATAGTATCTGAATTTTACTTCTGAATACACAACTCCCATTACACTTTTCTTGATTCAGTAATTTTTTTTGCCTTTCCTTTGAGTGCATCATTATTCTTTCAACATTTTCTACTGATCATTCTCATTCAATTCAGATTCTTTTACGAATCAAAATGGAAGAAACACCAGAACAGAAGCATAAATGCAGGTTTTGTAACCTGAGTTGCAGTAGTGGGAGATCATTGGGAGGTCACATGCGGGTTCATTTAGACTTGATTTCAGCAGAAAAGAAACAGAAAATTAAAGCTGAAAACAAGATGGGTTTTGCAGAAGAAGAAGAAGAAGCTGATAATCATTTCGAAAATTTGAGCATTTCAGAGCAATCTGACAGTAGCATGAGTCAAGAAAAGGCCAATAATATCAGCACCAACGATGTTGATGATATTGACTCAATTGGTTATGGTTTAAGAGAAAATCCAAGAAAATCTTGGAGGGTTTCTGAGTTAAAGCTTAGCTCTTTGAAAACAAAAAACCTCTGTAAAGAATGTGGCAAAGAATTTTCCTCTACACAAGCTCTAGCAGGTCATTTGAGGACTCATTCGAAAAAAGGGACGACGACTGAAAAAAGTCATATTTGTGAGAAATGTGGTAAAGGTTTTGGTTCAACTAGGGCTCTTTATGGTCACATGAAAGTTCACGTGAAAAGATCAAGGGTTGATCAAGAATCTGAATCATCAAAACAAAGCTTGTCTGATTTTGAGACTGTGTGTCCAATTCGGAAGAAGAGATCAAAGATTAAGTACCAGATTGATGCAAACCCTTCTTCCTCTTCTGCGGTTAGTGAAGTTGAAGAAATGGAAGAGGCTGCTAAGACTTTGATGATGCTTTCATGTGGTGTGAGGGACTGGGATGAATACATTTCAATTTCAAAGCCTCTTAAAAATGAAAATGTCATTTCTGCTAATGCTTTTACTGGAAAGAATTTGTCTCAGGCTGGCTGTTCTGATTCTGGCTGTGTTGATGGTTATGAAAAGAAGTGTGAAAATGAGGCAATAAATGATGAATTTTCAGGCAAGTTGATGATGATCAACACTGAGATTACAAGGGCCTGTTACTCTACTACTATGCTGGGGTTGGATAATGATCCAAGTGAGGATCTTGCTTTTCTGAATTCTTGTTCACTTAAGAATGCAGGGGTTGATTTTCAAGTGCTGAATCCAGAGACAACCTTTGTATCTGATATTCCAGTTGAACTGGGAACAATTGAAGCAATGAGGACAAGTCCTGAGCCTATCAAAAGCAAGGATCACAAATGTCCAATATGCTTCAAGATTTTTCCATCAGGCCAATCTTTGGGAGGGCACAAGAGGGCTCATTACACTGGATTCAGTGAAAGCAAAACTAAAGAGACTATGGTGAAAAAGTTGGAGGACCTTGCTGATAATCATAGAAGTTTTGATCTGAATAATCCTGTAAATGCTGTTGATGGAGGGGAAAAAGATGTTGTTGAGCTCAACCTTTGGTAGGTTGGTGGAAGTAGTTGAGATAATTCATTCTGATTTTCTGTTGAAAAGGTTTTAGAATTAGATAATTCATGATTCTTTTGCATGTTTGAATTTCATCATTGTAAAGATAGTTTGAGTCTTGGAATAGTTCTACATTTCTGTAATAACACAGGAAAGATTTGAGTTTCCAGTTAGCTGAATAAACCATAATGAGAATTAAGGCATACAAATCAGTACCCACATTACTGTTTACTTTCTGTTCATTTTGCATTCTTGCATGGTATTACTACATCTTTTCACAGGCCACAGTACACCTATGAATGTCTTTATCACTTTTTAACTCTTGGGAGTACTTCTTGTTTTTGGCTACTGTGCAGTCAAGAGTTGGATTTAATTTGTTTAATTGGAAAGAAACATGTTTAGATGATGTTTCCTGCCCCCCATATGTTTGGAAGATTATAAACGTTGACTACAAGGAGAGAAGATAAAGTAGGTGTCCCTTTAATATGGGAAAAATCTTTGACCCTGTTATGAATTTAGTAATCTGTCTGAAATTATATGTTGTGTTTCTCATTTCATGTCCCTTAAGAAAATATAAAATATAATATGTTTTGACTATTTTACCCTTATTTATGTTTTATGATATAATTTCTCTTTATTTAATATTTAGTCATAATTGAGATGTTTGTAGTTTTCAAGGATAATTATTACTAAGGGTGATTTTCTAAAATGACAAACAATTTGAGACAACTATTTTTAAGATCCACGACTGATAATATAAGACGGATGAACTATGAGCCCATTTGGATGGGCTTGTTGTAAATGACTTTTAAGCCAAAAGCCATAAGTTAGGAATTCTAGTTTTTGACTTTTGGCTTATTTTTGTCATTTTAGCTTAAAAACAAGTGCTTAAAAGTACTTTTTTTTACTTTATACAAACACTACAACTTGACTTTAAAGCTATTTTGACTTAAAAGTACTTAAAATAAGTCAATCCAAACGGGCTCTATAATGTTCTAAATTAGGTATATTACATCATTTTTCCTTGAATATTGGCTTATATCTTTCATATGATTTTTACCTCCCTAACCAAAAAATTTAATGTTCTCCAAAACTTTTGTAAAGCTTTCAAATACCCCCTTCCTAAATCCGAACAATACTAGTAAAAATGACCTTTCTTTTTTCAAATCAAACTTAAATATATAAGCAATTTTCAGTCAACAACAGTCATATATAGGAAATGCAGTTCTGTGCCAGGTTGGTGCCCTCACTGTCGCTTCGCACGTGCTTGAGAAAAGATTATTTTTTCTAAAAAGGTTTTTATGGGGAATAAAGTTTCTAGGCTTTAACCACAGTTACATAGCACTCAAAATAGAACAGTACAGTACAGTATTGAACGATCATATCAACGTCTCTCTAACTTAACCAAATGTCTATTTACCTAAAAAGAAGTTGAGCCAAACACTGTCTTTCACTTTTTCCCAAAGATTCCATTTCGGAAAATGGCTTCTCACCATTACTACCACCACCACCCCACGGTGGCCGCCACCAACCCCACCCCTATCTCCTCCGTCTGTTACTGCTACTCTTGTCACCCCACCCCTTCCCCATACCACTCCCCCTACCCTCACCCTCCTCCTCCACCAAATCCACACTCCACTACCCCTTATACCCATTGCCCACCACCACCACCCTACAACCCTCCTAACCAATGCCAATGTGTTCAACCCCCTCACCAAAATCATCACTATTTTGAAGAAGTTAATCAAGCCAACAAAGTACAAGACCAACAAACCCAACGCATTGTTACCTCACTTCTCCGTCGGATCGCCGCCTTAGAATCATCCCTCCGCCGCAGCTCTTCTAGTTCTCCTCGTTATCGTCAGTCCCTACGCGATGCTGCAGCGCGTACTATTCAAACGCACTTTAGAGCCTTCCTTGCTCGTAGATCGAGAACCCTCCGGCAGCTAAAACAGCTGGCTTCCATCAAAACTACTCTCAATATTCTCAAATCGTCAGTTTCTGGTAAACCCCATTTTGATACTCAAGCAGTTTCTCACAGAGCTATGGATTTACTTGTTAAACTTGATTCTATTCAGGTAATAATTATGCTCTAATTGCAATTTTGTACATTTGCTTTATACACTTATCATAACCCTATGTGAATACCTTGTGGTGGAATCACAACCCTCTGGACGAAAAATTGTATATAGGTCAAATCTTAATTTTTTATACATATATAATAAATCTTAAATACCTTATGGAAATTCCTGGATTCGTGACTGAATAGCTCAAAAGTGTTGAAAAAGGGGTTCTTTTTTGCAGGGGGATGATCAATTAATTAGAGATGGTAAAAGGTCGATAAACAACGAACTGACTAGATTTATGAAGGTAATTAATGGGGTTTCGGTATTTTCAAGTAGAGTAGTGAAGAATGTGAGGAGTGGCAACAAATCTAGGTGTTTTAACAGTGACCGTGAAGTGGAACTTGGCACAAATCTTAACGAAGCCATTGATAAGTTTGTTGCGACGGTAAGTGAATCTGAAGAGGAAGAGGAGGAGCACCTAAAAAATCCTAGAGTTTCTGAAGCTAGAAAATCTGGGGTTTTACGACGAAATAGGGATGAAGGTGGGCTTAAACCAAAACAAAAGAAATCTGTGAGCTTTGCAGAGAATGTTAATGGGCAAGAATCATTTGATGCTGATGAGATAGAGCTCATGAAAAACCTTAGCAGAAGAGTTGAAAAAATTGGAATTTTATCAAAGGATGGCGCTGAAGTTGATGAGGAAGAAGATGGAGGTCGGTATAGTGGAAGTAGTGATAATGAAATAATGGATCCAATTAACTACATTTCAAGAAAAGATGATGGTTATAATGAAAGGAATGTGAGAGATGAGGATGAGAATGAGAATGAAACTGAGAGTTTCTTGTTCTCAGCACCATTGCCTGTGAAGATGGAAGCTAGAGCAGTTGATAATTATATCAACAGGAAAATGGTGTCAAAATAGTTGACAATTGAATAGTTGGTTCCCAACAAGATGTCAAGATTTGAACTTTGACAATTGAATAGTCTCCTGCTGGATTTTGCTGAGCATTGACAATTAGGTGGAAGTTTAGAGCTTCTGCAATTCTCAGGAATTATTTGTAACTGTTAGTGATGATATTGATCTTGATGACTACTGTTAGGCTTGGTTATGAGAGTTCATGTGTTTTGGAGTTTTGGATTTTGGCTGTTTTCTTTTCTGCCATTGTTGTACGAAAGGGAGATCTTTTGGGTGTAATGGCCTTGGTCTGTAAGTCTTAAATCTTAATGAAGATTGTTGAAGTGTTAGAGGTCGCATTTTGTTCAAAAATAAATCAACAGGTGGCTATTTCTTGTGGAATTGTTTTAACCTTTAAAAAAGTTCTTTCTTCCTGATTATTGCTGAATTGAATGGTCAATTTGGAGAAGTACTACTACTTTGCTTTCAGTGGTAACTTATGATAAATATCAAATTCTTATAGTAAAAGCCTCCTAATTTCATTCCAAACTTACAAGAAAACAAAATCCATTCCAAACTTGTCGTCCTGAAAGCTAAAGTACATTTTATGTCTGTCGCTTGATGTTAAAAGAATGTTGAGGATGCATAAGTTTCTTCTAGATAAAAGTGTGGTCGACTTATTAACAAAGCCTAAACAAACTTACAGGTGATCAGCTCAAGAAAAGTCAAAAGGCTTATATGTTGGAAGTTTCAAGAAGGGAGTCACTCTAAGTTAATCTGAGAGAGTCAAAGAGCCTAAACACGCACAAATTTACTACTAGTGTTAATTTGTGAAATATAGGTCCAAGTTGATAATATTATTTTCAGAGCTTCCGTTGATAACTTGCAGATCGATTTGAAAGTGAGAACGAAGAAAAGAAAAATCCTTTATTTCCTCATATTTTACTTTTCGGAGGATCAAATTACGTGAACTTTGACTAAAATGTATCGATGTAAAACTTTTTTTGGTAAGTTGAATTCGAATTTGGTATGCAACTTTTTGAATATTTGAATTTTATTTTTCAAAGAAGGAATTAATTTGTGTCATTATGTTAAAACTTGATTAAATTAACTTTGGATGAACAAAAAATGGTTTTGGTAAGAAGTGAGTAGTATTAGGAGTAAAAAATATTATAGTTGTTGCATATAATCATCTAGTTTAACCAACTAGCTGACCTGCCATAAACCGAAAAGTTAGACCAAAAACAAGAAAAGAGGTCATAAAAACAGAGGAACAAATTTAGTGAAAAAAGAGAGTACTATAACTGAGATGGTATAGAAAATGGTCAATTGCTTTTAGCGCAGAAAAGACATCTGTTCTAATTCATGAATGGCCCATCAAAGAAGTTGACGCACCTTAAACGAGTCGTTAAAACAACTGCCACAGCAGAGCCATGCAAGTCTCTCCTGGAAAACTGCGCCAAAACCAAATCTTTAAGAACCACAAAAGGAGTCCATGCCCATACCATTACCCTCGGCCTCCTTCAGTCCCTCAGTTCGAATCATTTGCTTTCTCTCCTGACAGCTGCATATGCACTCTGTGGTCACACTTCATACGCTCGCAAAGTGTTCGATGAATTGCCTCAACGAACCTTGCTCTCATACAGGTCCATGATAAGAATGTACACCGAAAAGGGGTTGCCTAAAGTTGCGCTCAAAATCTTCGGGGAAATGCTGCGATCGGATAAACACAAGCCTGACAGACATACTTTTCCGTATGTGATTAGGGCGTGCAGTGACTTGTTCTTACTTCAACAGGGTGTTGTTATTCATGGGTTGACTGTTATAAGTGGGTTTATGTGGGATACTTTTGTGGGAAATTCACTTTTGACCTTGTATATGAGTTGTGGAGATAAGAAGGGCGCTAGGAGGGTCTTTGATGCAATGCAGGCTCGAACCGTTGTGACCTGGAACACTATGATCAGTGGGTATTGCCGAAATGATAGTCCCAAGGAGGCCCTAATGATTTTCAAGAGAATGGAAGATGCTGGTGTTGATGCTGATTGTGCCACTGTGCTTTCCCTATTGCCTGCGTGTGGGCGTCTGAAGGATTTTGAGATGGGTAGAAAGGTTCACTCACTGGTCGAAGAATTAAGTTTTTGGGACAATTTGTCAGTTAGGAATGCCGTCGTTGATATGTACGTTAAGTGTGGTATAATGGATGAGGCAAGGTTGGTTTTTGAGAAGATGGTTGATAGAGACGTGGTGACTTGGACTACAATGATCCACGGGTTCATTTCAGATGGTGACATAAAAAACGCACTATGGTTTTCTCAAAGGATGCAGCTTGAAGGTGCAAAGCCGAATGCAGTAACTCTGTCATCCCTTCTTGCTGCATGCGCTAGGTTGCCTCATTTGAGTCTTGGTAAATGCCTGCATGGCTGGGCTATCAGGCAGGACCTTCAGTCTGATGTTAATGTAGAAACTGGCCTTATTGACATGTATGCTAAATGCAACTGTTTTAGACTTGGCTATCAGGTGTTTGCAAGGACTAGCAAGAAAAGGACTGTTCCGTGGAATGCAATTTTGTCCGGGTGTCTTCATAATCAGCTTGCAAGAGAAGCGATAGAGCTTTTCAAGCTAATGTTGTCAGAAGCTGTCAAACCTAATGATGCAACCTTGAAGAGTGTACTTCCTGCATTTGCTATTGAAGCTGATCTCAGGCAAGCGTTGAGCATACACAGCTATCTTGTAAGATCTGGATTTGTTACAAGAACTGAGGTGGCTACTGGATTAGTTGATATACACTCAAAATGTGGAAATTTAGATAATAGTCACAAGATCTTCAATGGGATACCCACGAAAGAAAGGGACATAATTTTGTGGAGTACGTTAATAGCTGGTTATGGGATGCATGGGCACGGCGAGACTTCTCTGTCGCTGTTTAATCAGATGGTACAATCTGGGATCAAACCTAACGAAGTCACTTTCACCTCGGCTTTGCATGCTTGCGGTCATGCTGGATTGGTGGATGACGGTCTTTGTTTGTTTAATTTCATGCTTAGAAATCACTCTGATAGTCTTAGAACAGATCATTATACCTGTATGGTTGATCTTCTTGGTCGAGCCGGACGACTTGAGGAAGCATATGAACTTATAAAAACTATGATTTTCGAACCAAGTCATGCCATCTGGGGCGCACTGCTAGGTGCCTGTGTGATACATGAAAATGTGGAACTGGGAGAATTGGCTGCAAGGTGGCTATTTAAGCTGGAGCCAGAGAACACAGGAAATTATGTACTGTTGGGAAAGATCTATTCTGCAGTTGGAAGATGGAAAGATGCAGAGAATGTGAGACTTTTGATGGATGAAATTGGACTAGTAAAGACTCCAGCTCAAAGTGTCATTGGGGTGACAAGTAGGTGATTTCTTTTACTTTCCTTATCCTTGTAGCTGAAAGCCATTTTCCGATGCAAATAGATCCAAACTAGAGCTGAAGCGGATGGAAACATCCGAGGAATATGCAATAGTAGGATGAGACCTATTAGTTGCTAATGACCTCCTCGATTTTGCTATTGTAATTATAAATCTGCAATGCTCCTCGTACTTGCAATAGTTAGGTTGATTGGTTTTATACATTCAGTCAATCACAACTGTTCATATGCTGAAATTGAAGCTGGTTGATATCACCATTTAACTTTAAGAATTTACATAGCTCGAGTCACTATGGCAAGAAAAGGTTGAAAACCATTGAGTGATATTGTGATTCCTAATTTCCTATTGGAGCAGAAACTGAAGTCCAAGCTTTTATATATTTATTTGTTTTAGATGTATGGTCATTGCTTTCGCTTTCTATAATAAAATGGATTTAGGACTCCTGATGAATCATTAAGCTATAATTAGTAATTAAGTAGAAAGCCTCTTCCCAGTGGAATGAAATTGCAAAACTCGTCACCAAGTTTAACCTTTAAGGCATTTGGACTTGTGTTCTTCATTATGTTTAATTTTTTGTTTGTCACTCCAGGTCCTCAGACGGAAATAGAATTCTCAAGTCCATCAGATCATTTTGGAAGTAATATATTTGTCTGTTTCCTTTTGATACATAAGTATCAAAACTATAGGGGTCAATGTGTAATTAGAGAAAGTTAGAGTTTGCTAGTAGTCGGTTAGTTTTTGATAAATAGTAAACCTCCAGAATTTAATTAGTACTAATTCATTTTCCCTCTTTCATTCTTCTCGGTAACAATGTAAGAAGAATAGCAGACTTCTCTCTCTTTCTCTTTCTAGAAAATTCCTTTGATCTCATTTCTTCGTTCATTGCATGTTGTTAATTCATAAATTGTAAGCTCACAATTCAAGTTCTAACATGGTATCGGAGCATCGATTACTGGATTGAAGTAGTTTTGCGACTCTGTTTCATCAATTTCATTCTTCGAAGCTTGACCTAAGTTCATCAATGGCGGACGACGAGATTGCGAATTTACCTCATAATCATTCACTATTCCTAAAAGATTCTGATGCACCAGGAACAACTCTAATCTCGCTCAAACTCACATGGCCAGAAAACTATGCCCTTTAAAGTAGATCTATGCGAGTTGCGCTGCTGGTGAAGAACAAATTAGGGTTTGTGGATGGCACTTCTGTCAAAAGCTCTTATATAGGTGATTTGGCCACAAAGTGGGAAAGATGTAACGCGGTTGTGGTGTCATGGCCGAGCAGTACTGTTTCGGCGGAATTAGTACCAAGCATCACGTACGCTTCTAGTGCAAGGAAGGTTTGGGCTGAATTCAAGGAGAGATTTGATAAAGACAATTTGACTAGAATTTATCAGTTGTGGACAGAGATTGCAACCCTAAGACAAGGTACAGATTCTGTCACAAGTTATTTCTCAAAATTGAAGGATCCGTGGGATGAGCTAGATATACTAGCACCTTTACCTTCATGTGATTGTGAGGAATCTCGACCTTATGTAGAACACCTAGTAAGACAAAGGCTGCTACAATTTCTAATGGGACTGAATGGGAGTTATAGTCATGTTAGGAGTGATGTTTTGCTGAAACGGCCAGTTTTAAGTGTTAATTAAGCATATNAGGGGAGCCGCGAGCGCCGCACGGGCGAGCAGGTGCCGCTACCCAACGTAAGGATTTGGGCCCGTGAAAATATGCAGTTGTAGTTCAGGAGGAAAGCCAAAGAAGATTAGGTGTAGTGGATTCCAATAAGGATCCTTTAACGATGTTAGCAGCAGGAAAAGGCCAAGTGTTTAAGAACAAAATGCCAGGAATGATCTGTGAGCATTGTGGTTATAAGGGTCACCTAAAGGAAAATTGCTACAAAAATCATCGGGTATCCACCTGACTTCAAGAGCAAAAAGAAAGGACAATACAATGTGACCAAACCTTTTGCCAACACTGCAAATACTGAAGAAAGTGTCATTGGGAAGAATCAGATTCAAATTCAGCAGGGGAGTTACTTTACTGAGGAGTAGTACAATCAGTTGGTGAACTTGTTGTCAAAGACCTCAATAGGTGAAAACTCTTCAATTCGGGGAGCATCCTCAAACTTGGCAGGTACTATGTCACTACTGTCTAATGCCCAATGTTATGATTGGATAGTAGACTCAGGAGCTTCACATCATATTACTTTTTGCAAAAATGTTTTGGAAAGTATCCAGAGCATAAACAGACAGAGTAATGATGAAGTACAAACTCCAACAGGATCTAGATCAGAAATTACACACACAGGGGATGCAATAGTAATGGATACACAGAGAATTACAAATGTTCTACATGTCCCTGATTTTAAGTTCAACTTGCTTTCAGTATCAAAACTGACAAAAGAACTATGTTGTTCAGCTTGCTTTTATCCTTACTTTGTCATCTTTCAGGGCCTCTACAATGGCAAGGTTCTGGGGATTGGTAGAGAGGACAATGGATTGTACATACTTAGAAGGGAGAAGGATATAGCAGTAGCATCTGTTCAAAGGGAAGAAATAAACACTACACTATGGCACAACATGCTAGGACATGCTTCAACAACAGCTATGCAACACCTACCAGATTTGCAAAATAAAGTCAAGTTAGATGTACAAAGAGATTGTCATATCTGTCCATTAGCAAAACAAAGTAGACTAAAGTTTCCTATTAGTATCAGTAAGACTAATAGTATCTTTCAGCTTGTGCACATTGATGTATGGGGTCCATATAAGACAACACCTTATGACATGAAGTATTATTTTGTTACTTTGGTTGATGACTTTAGTAGATATACATGGGCTTGTTTGTTACATTCAAAATGTGAAGTGATAGTTGTATCGATGGACTTCTTATTATTAATAAAGAATCAGTTTGGTACTTGTGTAAAGACATTGAGATCTGACAATGGAACAGAGTTCTTCAATAGCAAATGTAATGAGTTACTATCTTCACTGGGAATTATACATCAACGTAGTGTCCTTATACACCCCAACAAAATGGGTGGTTGAGAGGAAGCATATGCATATTTTGGAAGTAGCTATGGCTCTAAAATTCCAAAGTGGTTTGCCTTCAAGATTTTGGGGTGATTGTGTAAAAACTACTGTCTATCTGATTAATAAGTTGCCTACTGAAGTGTTAAAGGGAAAGTCACCTTATGAAATGTTGTTTGGTAGGACACCTAAAATAGACCATTTGAGGGTATTTGGGTGCCTATGTTATGCTTGTATACTACCTAGGAAAGACAAGTTCTCACCAAGGGGAAGGATGACTGTTTTGTTTGGGTATTGAGAAACTCAAAAGGGGTACAAATTATATGACTTGGACACCAGGGATTTCCTAGTTAGCAGGGATGTAAGCTTCAGGGAAGACATATTTCCTTTTAAGCATCTCACAGAAGACAATGAGGATATATTTACTCAATTTACTAGTGCACTAATACACTCAGAAGGAAGACCAACACATGAAGGTGAGCATTTTTCTATTACAGGAGATGGAAATGCTGCTGCAGTAGATGGAGATGATACTGCAAGTGCTGGAGATATTATTTTAGAAGATGAAGCATATTCAGCTGAAGAAGAGCTACCAGTACCAGTAGCAGCAAATCAAACAGGAGCTGAAACAGAACTACCAGTACCAACAGCAGCAGATCAGACAGCAGTTGAACCAGATGGAAATCCTACACAAGAAATAGCACATGATCCATCCGATGCCTCAGCACCTACAACATCTTCAATAGGGGAGCCTATGCAACCAGTCAATGGCACTACTGAACTGAGGAGATCTGGTAGAGGAGTGAAACCACCTATTTAGCATAAAGATTTTGTCACTGGGTGGACACCTACTCGGAACAATGCACACTCAATCACCAACTTTGGCAGCAACAACACACTTGTAGATGAAGCAAAGAACACACTGCATAACAACTTCAAAATGAGGATTTGGGAGAACTTAAATATTTTCTGGGAATAGAGATCATGAGGTCCAAGAGAGGGATCCTATTAAACCAAAGAAAATATGCTCTACAACTCATCTCAGACACATGATTAAGTGGTGCAAAATCTGCTAGTTCTCCATTGGAACAAAATCTGAAGCTGACAACAATTGATTATGACAAACACATGAACAAGACAGATGATGAGGAACTGAAGGATATCAATGGATATCAGAGGTTAATATGCAAGTTGATATACTTGACTATAACCAGGCCGGACATCTGCTTTGCAGTACAGTTGCTGAGTCAATTCATGCAACATCCAAAACAGTCTCACCTAGAAGCAGCCATGAGGGTTGTCAGATACATCAAGAAGTCACCAGGCATGGGTATATTTCTGAAAAAAGGAGCACTAACACAAGTAACTGCCTATTGTGATTCAGATTGGGCAGTATGCCCAAACACAAGAAGGTCAGTGACTGGTTATGTGATCAAGTTGGGTGACTCATTGGTTTCATGGAAGTCTAAAAAACAACAGATAGTGAGCAGAAGTTCTGCAGAGGCAGAATACAGGAGTATGGCAGCAGTCACTGCTGAAATTGTTTGGCTAGTGGGACTGCTAAAGGATCTCAATGTAAGAGTACAAGAACATGTGGGAGTATACACGGATAGTAAAGCAGCAATGCAGTAGCAGCTAATCCAATCTATCATGAAAGGACCAAGCACATAGAAATAGACTTCCATTTTGTGAGGAAGAAGATTAAAGAAGGACTGATTGCACCTGATTACATGCCCACCAACGAGCAAATTGCAGACATTATGACCAAAGGATTAGGTGTAAGCCAACACCATCTTTTATTGTCCAAGCTGGGGGTGTTAGATGTATTTCACCCTCCAGCTTGAGGGGTAGTATCAAAACTATAGGGTCAATGTGTAATTAGAGAAAGTTAGAGTTTGTTAGCAGTCGGTTAGTTTTTGATAAATAGTAAACTTTCAGAAATTAATTAGTACTAATTCATTTTCCCTCTTTCATTCTTCTCGGTAACAATGTAAGAAGAATAACAGACTTCTCTCTCTTTCTCTTTCTAGAAAATTCCTTTGATCTCACTTCTTCATTCATAGATTGTAAGCTCACAATTCAAGTTCTAACAATAAGCTTGAAAAATAAGAATTTCAACTCTAAACTGAATTTTACTTTGTAATTCCAATTTGGGAGGGGTAAAAAAAAAAAAAAAAAATTCTATCCATTAAAGAAATTCGATAAGCTGCTTTAGTTACTACTGTAAAACAAATTTGGTCATCCAAAATATTGTTGCCACATAGTGGTAGCAAAATGGATTGAGCAAACAGTTATCCATCAACGTCATCAATATTTGGTCGATATCCATCAATGTCGCTCTATGACACACGCGAGTAGAATAAAATTCTCTGTGCCAGAAAGAGAAGGATTTTATAGTATAGAGATGAAGAAAGATGGAAAAGTCTCTGGATGTAATTTTGGTTTACCGGGCTGATTCGATTTTTATCGAAACTTAACCAAACAAACTATATCGGTTTGGATTTGTTCGATTTTGACGGGTTTTTCGATTTGTGCGGTTTCTCCGATTCGGTTCCCCCGATTCGGTTTGTACTTTGTACACCCCTAATATATCACACGCTAATGGGTTTTTTCTGCTTCTGTGAGGAAAAGGTAGAGTCTGTTAGAATTTTCAATCCCGCTACAAAAGAAGTAAGACTTCTTCCCCGATTAAAAGAACTTGATCTTTTATTATACTATGAATGTTCCTATTTACTAGGTGATGAACCAGAAGATTTTGATGACACTTGGTGTTTCAAGAGGGTTCACAAGAAATTAGATTTTCACTTTAGGAACAGAAGAACGTTGGAGAGAGATTAAAAGCATGGCTGAGTTTTTACCATATAAAAGTGGAATTTGCATTAGTGGAGTTATCTATATGTCGAATTATTCCAAAAAAATTATAGTTGCATTCCATGTTAAAAGAAATATCAAATTGTGGAATGCTGCTTTAGATCATTTGAGATATAATTATGACGTTAGGAAAAATAGCTGGAGAAAATTGGAAATATTGATGCATTCAGTAAAGGGTTGGATTGACAATTATGGCATTTATACTTATGTAGAAAGCCTCTTCCCGTTGAAAAAAGTTAGCAATGCTCGTTTGCAGATTTGAGCTTTAAGGCATTTGGACTGTGATCTTCTTATTTTTCTTTAATTGGTTTGTTCTGTTTATTTTAAAGACTTTTTTCCCCATAACTTTGTGTCACTAGCATCCTTGTGGAAGAGTGTGAGCCCCTAATGTTGAGTTAATTGCGAAAAATCGACCCTATAATAAAGCCATGTGCCTTTCATTATTTAACACAATAATGGGATTATTATTCTGTTTGTTGTTCCCACATGTTACTATGCCGTGGTGGGAGGAGTTCAAAGATACTTCCATGTTAGGAATGGCTGGTTTAGACGGAGGCGGAGGGAACAAGATTGACATAAGATTTGAACTCACAACCTCACCTAGAGAGGTACACTCAATAACCATCACATCATATAATACTTTGAGCATGGGTGCACACACATATATTTAGGGCGGGGAGCATGGGTTCACGTGCCCCATGGAACCCCCTAGATACGCCCATGCGCTTCTGAGTTTAGATGTTATAAAACAAATGTTCCTGCTAAGGTTAAAGAAAGCTTGCTTATTGCTACTGCTTTATTTTTTCTATTCACAAAATATTCATAATCACGGGCAATGCTACCTAATAAAGTAGACTATAACTAACTCTATGCAAACTTAGATGTTGCATTTAGTATTGGGAGATATAACATAGTTGTAAATATAGTGTAATATTATTTTGTGTTTATTTTAGGAAGTTGTATATGCTTAAGAGACTATAGTAGTGGTTGCCTTATTTTCTACGATAGCTTTCTTAGTTAACTAGACATATATTTTGTATATATTAACACCTGATTGTTCAATAGAAGATACAAAACTTCATTCTCTCTTAAACTCTTCATGGTATCAGAGCCATAACCCAGAAGGAATTGAGTGAGATGGCCGCCGCCAACAAGAAAAAGGACGGAGACGGAGGCAGTGAATCAGGAAGCAGCAAAACTCCCATGAATAATCCAACATCGCCATATTTCTTGCTTTCAGCAGACCACACAGGAATATGCATAACTCATGTGGTTTTGATGGGCGACAATTATGACGAATGGGCTAAGGCCGTGAGAAACGCTTTTAGAGCAAAAAAGAAATTGGATTTTATCAATGGGAATGATTACAAAGCCCAAGGAAGAAGGATTTGAACTCGATGATTGGTATGCCGTCAATTCGATGTTGATTGCATGGGTCCACTTCGTTCTACGATCTCTTACATAGAAACTGTTAAAGAACTATGGGAAGACTAGAGTGAACGATTCTCAATTGGTAATGACACGAGAATACATCAGTTGAAAAACGAACTTGCATCTTGTAAACAAGAAGTACAGATTTTTGTTGCGTACTACGGTAAATTGAAGAGCATGTGGGAAGAACTTATTGTTACACAAAGAATCTGATATGTACATGTGCTGGGTGTAGGTGTGGGGCATCAAAGGAACTGGTACAAGAACGCGAAAATGAGAAAGTACATAAGTTCTTAATGGTACTTGATGATGATGTGTTTGGGACTACACGCTCCAACATATTAAGCATGGAACCCCTACCTACGTTGAATCGAGTTTATGCCATGATTATACAAGAGGAACGACATCAGAACGTTGCTCGAGCTAAGTGGAGCGTGCAGACTCTATTGCTTTTTGTTAGTCCCGCCAATATTGCTGTATTTGTAAATAATAATTCTGCAAAATATAAGTTATCGTAATGAAACAGTAATTAATTCGAGCCCACTGAATTCACAGTGTTTCCTTAAGGAATTTAATCCCCTCCTAGTACCCAAGGTAATGAATTATTTCCTCTCAGGATAGAACAAATCACACACTGGTGTAGCGGTACTTCAAACCCCAGTGTTTCAGCGAACACAAAGTTCGGTAGCAAATCACACTTACAGTTGCTTTGTTTGACGTTAAAACAATGCAGAACGAAGGAGTAGAAGCTCAGAAAATCGTATGGAAATGCTGAGAGGAAGGAGTGCAATGTATAGCCAAAGTTGAGCGTTTTACAGTTTTGTTGGTGTTTTCGTTCTTCGTTCGTGTCTTTCTTCAACAGTTGCTGCACATATATATAGCAGCCAGCTTTGAAGATGAACGACCCTCCATCCTCCATGGTGAATCATGCACTAGCTTGTTTGTGGAGCAAGCACTTGGCCATGGTGGGAAGGGCTGCTATTGCAGCTGGTGGTCAATACACGAATTGGAAAATATCCGTTATAAATGCGGATAATCTTACGTTAATATTTACTATTAACAAATAAATTTGGTCCAAAATATTTAAGCCGAGGCCGAGCCGAGCGAGCGACGACGACGACGGCGCGAGACTTGCTTTCTTCTTAACTCTTTAAGAGCTACAAGAAGAGCAATTATATATATACCCACCAAAAATCTTTTCCTCTTCCAATATGGGACAATGTCTCATTGTCAAGAGTAGGAAACTTAAAATTTTACTCAAAAATTTCATTTTCCCTCTATTTCCCATTCACCCTCATTTTAAGACTATTTCATCTTAAAAACAGAACCTCAACACTTTTGCTGTGCAATCCTTATCTAATGCTCGCATCAACTACAATAGCAGAACATCTAATAATTCAGATAAACCAACATGTATAGTTGCGAAAAACTTGGACATGAAAAGAAAGATTGTTTTCTGTTGATCGGGTATCCTGAATGGTGGGGTACAGGACGAGGAGGAGGAAGGACTACTGGATGTGGTCGTGGTGGACGATCTGGAAACATTGGTAATTATGGACGTGGTGGCACTAGACGTGGGATTACAGCAGTTGCTAATGCTGCACAAGCAACTGAGTCAAATAGTAAAATAAAGGCAGATATTAATGCTTGGACGAGATTATCTAATGACCAGTGGAGTGTACTGGTATCTATGCTTAATTTCCACAATAAGAACCATGATAAATTATCAAGTAACACTTTTGGAATTCGTTGGATTGTCGACTCGGGGGCATCTCACCATATGAGTGGTAATGCCAAATTATTTATAAATTTATATGATGTGACACCATTTCTAGTAGGCCTTCCAAACGGTTCCACGACTACGGCTTCGAAGGCAGGGATTGTTATATTCGAAAATAATCTCAAATTGTATCATGTTCTTTATGTACCTCAATTAAAATACAATTTAATTTCTGTGTCTAAGCTCGCTAATAAAAATAATTGCTTAGTCATATTTGCTGATATGCTTTGTGTGATTAGGATCGGACTTTGAGGACAATGATTGGTATGGGTGAACAATGCGATGGGGTATATTGTTTGATGTTAGTGGCACGAGCACAAACAAATAGCACCTATAAGGTGGATAATTTTGATTTATGGCATCGTCGGCTTGGTCATCCCTCCAATAAGATAGTTTCTCTTCTTCCTAGAATTAGTAGTCATACTAGAACAGATGAGTTATGTAATGTTTGCTTAAGAGCAAAACAAACAAAAGGAATATTTCCTAATAGTATGAATAAAAGTAATTTATTTGAATTAATTCATTGTGATGTGTGAGGCCTTTATCGTGT